ACCAAGCAGCAGAGCAAGTTCTGTTCAACGTGAGGATGTTCCTTCAGATGGAACAGAGTCTGGTGAAAGAAAGGTCTGCAAACCAAGTAGCAGAGCAAGTTCAGTTCAGCGTGAGGATGTTTCTTCAGATGGAACAGAGTCTGGTGAAAGAAGAGTCCGCAGAGCAAGTTCTGTTCAGCGTGAGGATGTTCCTTCAGATGGAACGGAGTCTGGTGAAAGAAGAGTCCGCAGAGCAAGTTCTGTTCAGCGTGAGGATGTTCCTTCAGATGGAACGGAGTCTGGTGAAAGAAGAGTCCGCAGACCAAGCAGCAGATCAGTTTCTGGTCAGTGTGAGTTTGTTCCAATTGGTGGGACAGATGATAATGAGACAAAAGTCTGTAAATCTAGCAGCAGTGGATGTTCTGATCATCAACATGTTGTTCCTTCTAGTGAAACAGAATCTTTTGAAAGAAGGCTTTCCATACCTAAGCGTAGAGAAGGATCTGTACAGAGGGATCATCTTGAGGCAATTCAGGAGGAAGGGTCATATAACCATGAAGCTGACAAGATAGGTAGTGGCATAAATTCTGTTCAGAATGCATATATTCCTTCAGAAGAGGCAGATTGTATTAAATGCAAAATTGATGACTGCAAGAAATCAGGTTCTATTAAATGCAATGATGTCATTGAGGCAGATTTTCTTGACAAGCCCAGTAGTAGAGCCAGCAGTGCTGACTATAGAGATGTTACTTCAGCAAACGATTTTGAATTTAATGAAAACAGACAGCCCAGAGCTTCATCAGTAAACAGTGATGCCAGCACTGTGATTTGGGAGGAAAGCCCACATTTGGAGAGGTGTAGAAAAAGGTGTGGTACTAGAAGCAGACACTCATCTGCCAGTAGCAGGTCTAGTTTTGTTCAAGGTGATGAAGCAATGGATGTTGAAGGAGTCAAAACTTATTCAACCAGGAGCCATAAGGGTTCGATTTTCCTAGATATTCTGTATGAAGGGCCAGAAGATATTGATCGTACACCCGTGAGTGTTACAAATAAGGCAGACATGCTTATACAAACAGATGGTGAAAAAAGAAAACTTGAGGGAAGTTGTAGAGCTGTTTCTGGATTTTTACTGGAGGACCAAGGCATTTCAGGTCCCTCTTTACCAACAAATGAAATGTTTGGGTTCACAAGTAATGTAACTGGACAGCTGTGCAGGAAAGCACGATCTGAGTCTGGATATGTGGTTGAACCTGTTACAAGAAGTAAGAGATTCACAAGATCAGCAATTGGAATTTCTAATAAGACCATGACTACTGATGTGGGGTCAGTGACTGACAATGCATCTACCAGGATGTCTCTCAGATCGGATACTGGGCAGGATAGGATGCAAAATTCTCCTGGAATATTAGGATCAGTTCATGGAGATGGTTCATGTAGTGGGAGATCTTCTGGCTCAAGTGTTAAGGGGAAAGAGCAGGCAGACTATACAAGCAGAGGAGACAGTTTGAGCACTCAACAAATAATTGAGGAATATGCAACAAACAGGCGGTTAACACGACATCAACGTTCAATGTTGGAACGCAGTATTGAGCTTGCCAAGCCATCATTGTCTCAGCTCACCAGGTGAGATATTTCAGTAAGTTTATGTGTAAATGAAAACACTTCAACCAAGTGACTGTAATTTATAGGTGGTCTTTCGGGTTGTGACACTGTGTTGCTCAGTTCATGAAGTTGGGGGTAATGCATTCCTTTGGAAAATTGGTACCCATCTGCAATTGCACAAGGCATCACAGAAGACCACCATTTACATTGTCATTTTAATGAACCCCAAATCTCCACTGTAAAAAAACTTCTCAAGGGATCATAATATAGTGTTGATACTGCAGTAGTGTAAATTTAAGTGGCACTAGGATATACCTATTAAAATTTCAGTTATAGATTTGCAAATGCTTCAGGATTGTTCAGTCTGGTTCTGTTTACACAGCATTTTGAAAATAATAAATGTTTCCATAATTTGTTGTTTATTAGCCAAAAAGAGACATATTCAGCAGTAGGATTGTTTGAGTACTGAACAGTTTTTTCCTATAAGTTACTATTTCTTATGTCATAAATTTGGTGACCAAATGGTGTCTAAATGATAGTTATGCTCAAATATAAGAGGTACTTACTTTTCATCCAGTCTATTGTAGCACCTCCATAATAACCAATAATAACTGGCCATCTAGGCCTGGTTCTGGGAATAATGATACTTTGGGATTGATCAGACAGGCTGTGTGATAGAAAAATCTGGGTAGTATAATTAATAACAAAGTTAAAACATCACATTTCATCTGCAGCAGCATGGCTTTAAGTGAAATGCATTGTTTATGGTATAGATGCCTTCACAGTTATACAATGAAATGCAGATATTTTTTGAGTTTTTTTAAAGTAAATGTTCTAGCATGAAAGATGTGACAATGTGCATGATATATTGCAAAACACAATAGAGTCTGGGTCTCGTTTCTTACAGTATTCTCACCACATGGAACACTGGTGTTCATTTTTATTTGTGATGCACCATTCAGTAGATAGAAAATGTTTCACTCTCCTTTCTTACAAAGCAGATACTGTGTGATGTAATAAACTTACACACGTCCTAGCATTTCCATTTTATATGTAAGACTAGACTTTCTGGTCTTGACCAGTTCTCTCACAGTACTTATAAAAATGTGTATGATTGTTTCAGTTAATTTTTAGCTAAAGAGAAGCATGTACTGTTTATTATTATTATTATTCATTCATTCATTCACTGACTTCACTAACTATACTGACAATAGTCTTTTTCTATTGAAAACCATGTTTATGGTATGGGATCATGCTTAAAAAGTTTATAGTATCTCATCTGGTTTGTGGAACTAAAAATTCATTACTTTTTTCATGACAGGCTCACCGTTTTAGTCTTTAATCCATCAAATCTGGTCCTCCTCATCCCACCTTATATCTCTTAAATCTCTAGCTCTAGGTCTCCAAGTGGGCTCTTCCTTCCCTCTAGGTCACCCAATGCATGTTTCATGCACTGGTGATTGTTTCTTTGATTTAATTAGACTAATATGTTAGAGAGTGGAAATATGAAGCTATCCATTGTATAAATGTCTCCGTTCTCCTTTCACATCTTCTTGATTCATTCATTCATTCATTCTGAGGTCCAAATATTCTATGTTCATAGATCTGACTGGTGGATTTTGTGTTTATTGTATACTAGGCATAGGAAACTTCCATCCTTGCCAGAGACTTCAGGTGATGATGAGGATAAATCTGAAGAGGAAGATGAGTCATCTTCACGAATTTCAAGTGTTGGTACATGTGTATCTCACCCAAGATCTTGTCCTACATTACATGGGAATACATCTCCAGCATTACAGGCATCTACCATTCAGCTTCCTTCTTCGGAGGTAACAATGGCCCTTGCCTTTTTCTATTTTACAAATTATTAAACACATGTAAAATAGAGTTAATGGAACTTGGATGGCACCACTGGCATAAATACAGTACCTAAAGTCATTACATATTTGTACATGTTCTACTACACGTATTGGATATTGGAAAAATAGGTGCCAAGATCAACTACACATAGAGAGTTAGGAAGACAAGTCTAATCCTGTATAGTTCACAATTACAGTGTATTCTGTATTAAACTTTTCTGTCATAATTTGTTCATCCTGCTTCTGAAATAGAATATGAAAGTCCAACTGAAGTATAGTCTTCACTTTTGTTTTTCCATGGGACATAGAACCCATGTCTTAGAAATGTCATTAACATTAATACATGTTTTTCTCAGAATTAGGTACACATAATGGTGTCTTTGCTTAATAGACATTTGGCATACAATTGTAATTAATGGAAGGTAGAGAAAAGCCACATACAGACAATGCAAGGAGATCATGAATGATTAGAATTATGGCACTGTCTGTAAATTTACATCACTTGTGGCCAGCCTACAAAATGTTGAGCACATGATTTTTGAAAAAGAGTGTATGTGTACAAATTATCATAAATGGCTTCAACTGAAGTCTTTGAATTTTCAGATTCCATTACACAAGGCTGGTTTGCAAAGAAGATACAGTCGGAAGATACTTTCAAAACATGATATAGATAGCCCCAGTTCTGTCTTGTCTGATGGTAAGTGACATGTCTTTAATGGTATAAAATACAGTTGAATATGTACTTTTGGTGGGTGGTATTTCTAGTGTGTGTGTGAGCCATTTAGAAAGTTTAAGTTAGGTTGAAAAGTATAAATCATTATAAAACTTCCACTGATAAACACTGTTAGAGTGGAACCCTCATTTAATGTTACTTCATTTAGCTGTATCATTGTGTCAATGTTACAGTTTTCCTGTTTAAGACTTTTTGCAGTTTGGTGCTCTAATCATGAGTTTAAGGTCTCCATTCTCACATTCAATATAAGTGAACATTTTACTTCATGCTTCAATCTCTTCATCTCAAACATAGCAGTAAAACAACAAAAAAGTTTTTGTCCATTATTTATTCTGTCTTCTCCATAAAAGTATCCACCATTCTTCTGAACATTATATTGAAGTGTTTTAATTGTCTCATTGAAAGAAGCCTCTTCAGCAGTGAGGAGAGGATAAAATTAAAATAGATATTATAGACATGATATGTGAGCATATTAAACTGAAATTACTCTGGATAATGTCCATGTGAAGGATTCTGTGATGATGATAAACCTTTTTATTTGATAACAGTAGGGAAATTCTTGAGCAGTTGATTGTCAAATTATAGTATTCAGTTCCATGGAGTCAGTTTATTCATTTTGATACAACTCAAAAGAATCAGAGGATTTAAGAAATGTTTTGAGGAGGAAGATGTTAACATGCACAGCCTTATGTACAATTGAACACAGTAAACTTACTACTCGTTTTGGTAATAACTTATGGTGTAACATTTGGTGGATTAAAATAATGGTACTTTATTAGGAATCATTTTCTTTATCCTGTAGAATATACTGTTCCTGTTCAAATGGATTGATTTTTCATGTCAGCTGCTGCCTGTTTCAGCATCAACACCTTATGCAAGTTCAGCAACAAGTGCTCCGAGTCAGCTAGATGCTTCTCCATTATCAACTCGATCAGAAGATGTCACTCTTGAGAGAATGAGACGTAAATCATTTATGCGAGCTCAGATTGCTCTGAAGTCTGCATCTGAACATGGTTCTGTCTCTGGTGTACCTTCAGGGAGGAAGTCTGTGGTAAGAGTGCTTATGGTGGATTTGTCAATAACCCACCTGCGTCACTTCAGGCAAATTACAATTATTATTGATGACTTGCCTGCTCCTTGGCTGAAACAATATTGCTTAGTTACACACAGTTACATGTGAATAAATAGAATGAATTCTTTTATATGTACCAATAATGTGGGAGTCCTGCTAAAGATTCACCTTCAGGTAAAAGTGTAATTGATTTGAAGTTGGTATGACTTGCATTTGCCTGGGTGTGTAACTTGGCCTGTCACTCAGGACAAAGGACAGACATTAAATGCATATGAAAATAAGGTATCTGGACATAAGAAAGATGAAGTGAGATAAGAATGGAGGAATGATACAATGGTTAGTTTAATTCTTCACCTAGTATGTTTAGTGGTCATCAGGAGATACAAGAATTACATACTTTTTGGTTAAAAACTTGAAGGAAAGTGACTACAATATTTAGCAAATAAATACAGATAGGAGGATAGAATCAAAATGTATTGTGTGAAGTTTCATATGGGATGAGAACGTGTTTTAACAGTTCAGCACATGATCCAGTGGTGTGTTGTAGTAGTGATGGTGATGAACATTCTGATCCCTTAGAGCACAGAATATCATATTTCTAGGTATATTTGCTAAAAGACTTCATCATAAAGTCTGAAATTAGCACACACTTTCTTTCCAAGTTTAATATTTGCCATTCTACTTTTGAATCTGTTTTCAGTCCAGCACTGTAATATTTGTCCACAGGCAAACAGTCCAGGTGATAGTGGTAGCAGTGTGAGCAGCAATGCTGGCAGTAGTCATACATCTCTACCTTCAACAGGAAGTCACATCACAAGAGCTGTGGCTACGCGTTTGGGGCGGGTTTATACCTCTGAAGAAGTACGGCGCTCACCTCGTCTTGCCAGACTTCAGGATGAAGACCTTCATACTGCATCACCGAGCACTTCTTTCCACTTTTCCCCACCTACTCTTGTGCGTGGTTCTGTGAAGAAGGAAGGTGAGTATTTATTACATACATAATCTCTACTTCCCCCACTTTTAACCCCTCTCATTATGCCCATAAAATACAACATTTTTACCCAAATTAAAATCAGGTTTTCCTCCTTAGCATCTGAAATGTACATAGGCTATATTATTCACTTATTTTAGGATTTCTGTTCTTATGTTTAATATTACTATTGTTTTCAGGCCTAATAGTTTGGCAGTATTGGCTGTCATTAATTTATTTCCTTGCAATCCAAGATCAGAATGTTTCAATTTCTTGACCAGCCAAGTAACTATCCATTTTTCAAGGAAGATTCTGCATCATGGACTTAATTTAACATTGCATTGTGGTGCATCTTATTATAATTCTTGTGGTTTGTAACATGCTGGTCATCACAAAACAGAGGGTAGTTTACTGTGTATTGTTTGCATTATTTATTATGTAATTTTAGAATCATCATCTGGTACTCCACCTACACCTGTGCCAGCATTTGTTTTCTCACCACCTCAAAAACAGCAGCTTCTTCCAAAACCACATCGTCAAAGTGCTCCAAGCCAGCAGACTCGAGCCCACACAATGGCACTCAGAGGGCTGCACACCATCACAGAGGAGTCTACCCCTCCATCTACTCCTACCAACACTATTCCACCACAGACGTCTGAAAGAGATACCACCCCCATCGCTGTGAGGAAATCCAAAAAGTTCAAACCCACTCCATCTTCTAAAACACCTAAGAGAAGCAGGTACTGAAGTCTTCTGAAATATGCTTGCTGAATGAATATGAGAGTATTTATAATTTATGAAGTACAATTACTTTAATTGCTTGTAGAAATGGCATATAATAACAGCCTTAATCATTTAGGATCGCCTAATATGAAGATTTCATAATAGTAATGCCCAAATGTAAGATAACTTAAAATGTAAAATGACTCTTGGAAATCATGGTATTAAAAATAGATCCCATGAGAAGCAGTTGCTCAGCTGATCAAGAAATTTCTTACCTTTTATGGCACAATGTTCACAGGACCTGCTACTATGCCCTATATAGTTCTCACCTTCACAACCAGCTCCTTTAAGATCAATTTTAATATTATCTTCCCATGTATTCCTGCTCTTCCATGTGGTCCCTTCAGGTTGTGTGATAAAAATTCTGTGTGCATTTATCATCCTCTCTATGTCTTGTCCATCTTATCCTAATATATGATACAAATTATAAATTATACAGCTCCCCATCATGTAATATTTTGCATCCTCTTAATACTGCTTCTCTGTCTTAGACTAAAATATATTCTGTGCTACTTTGTTCTGTCACCCCAAAAGTTAAAAGCCACGTTTCACATCCATATAAAACAATTTGTAGTGTTATACTTTGTCATGACTGAAGGTTATATAACCCCACTGGCACACACCACTGTTACAACATGGCTATGAGGTGTCAGAATAATGTCACTACTGTCATCAGTATTATAGCATATGTACGGGTGCTGTATATTGGACCACTGTTGTAATACCCTAATAATGTAGCACTGGGGTTTCAAACTGCTATGTTGCTACCTCTTAAGTTGTACTCTGAGTTTTGGGGGTCTAAGAAATGTGGCCACTTTTAGCACCCTCCTTACTGTCCGCGAGCTACGAGAGTAGACCTGACATCTTTGAGGGAGGTGGGGGTAGAATTCTGTGCTTCTAGCAGACCGAAATACACCTGCAGCTTATACAGGCCGTACATCGTGAGCTAATGTACTGACTGACTGACTGATCACCAGCGCATACGCAGAACCCACTTTCCCCCTGACACAAGCAACGGCTGACAAGGCCACGTCTACTCTCATGGCTCGCGGACAATAGTCTACCACCATCCAGTGTGTTATCATCCCCCTTGCCTTGGGTGCCTGGGGGTAAATACAGGCCAGAAAATTCTGTCTACTGATGGTATGCTTTGACTAGTCTCGTCTCTTTGGAGTGTGGTGGATGTGGGAAGGTAATGTATTAGGGTTTGTCCAGCTGCTGTCTCCACCGTATCATGCAGGATCAGTATGGTTCACATAACAAATTGACACTTCAAATATTTACATTTTATACATATATACAGGTTGCAAGTCATGAAAATGCTGTGTGTCAGTTACCTCCATTGCCTAACTCTCACTCTGTTCATGGTGCCTAAATCTCTCCAACGTAGTTATGCTCTCTTACTCCCAAGATCATGGTTTCTCACTAACCACTTAAAGAATGAGTTCCAGTAGGTAATCAAATCTGTTATCAGGTTTTTCATATTCCTCTCCCTCTTTTAGTTAACCAGCTACCACTTGCATCGCTCTCTTCCAGCCATCTGCTGAGTGGTTCCTCTCACAGTAATTATATTCTTCATGTCCTACATTTTCCTAAAGTTATATGCTTAACTTTATCTAACTGACTCAGAGCAACTGCCTGGCCTATTTCCCTAGTTGCTGCAATGCACCAGCTTACCTAAGTTGTGCCACTACAAGTAAAATTGTTTTGTCTTTATCTTCAGGTTTACTGGTAGAAGATTCTGAACTAACCATATTGAATCTACTTTAACATCAACATGGATGTAATTATTATTTGTTGCTGTCATTTCTAAGTTTTAACTATGCTACCTTTTCAAAGGACTGTCTTTATACCCTGCAGTCTGGTGAAGATACATGGACATATACTTGCTTAGTTTTCTTTGCATTCATTTCAATACCAGTGTCTTTACCAGAATATGATATAGTGTGTGTTTTTCTCAATGGTAGTCCTGCGTTTACCGAATAAATTAACATTAGCATAGACAGAAGTTGGTGTGTTCCATTCACTTCCAGTCTGTCCTGATTTTCTTGCATTTTCCTATTGGCATATTCTAAGTGGAACAAAGCATTTACTGTTTCAGACTATTCTCAATAGGATATTCATGAGATAAATGGGATTTGAGGTTGTCATGGTGGTGATAAAACAGTTTATATAAATGTATGCATATGTGCAGACTCATCAGAAGGTAACAGGTATAATTTAAAAACCATCTGCTTCAAAGTACCGTATTTTTACACAACTCCAGAATTGTCAGCTGCTCATTTGAAACTAATTTCATTTCTGTTTATTTCTGCTGCATTGGTTTACCACATGTACATTAACTTCGACAATACTTCTTTTCCAATAATTTTCTATCAAAATTTCTTCTTAGAGTTATTGTACTGAAGGCATAGTTTTTCATATAATCAGTTGTAATTCATGCTAATAACAAAAGAAACAAATATGCACAAACTTAAGACAATTTCTTTTCAGTTTTATAATCATGTACTTGGGTCACTGAATATCAAAACTGTAGTCTCATAATTTAATATTTTTTTCTATAACAATGATAAATTCTGTCCATGTTTGAATGTGCATTGTCATATATTGAAAGCCTGAGTCCTCAAACAAAACAAGCATGTTTTTCAAATGATCCACTCTACTTCCCATTTAACTGAAATGGTGACAAAAACAGAGAACCTGATAGGACTTTCCTGGATATGAGATTATGAGAATCCATTATTTTCTCTCTGTGGAGGGCTATGTTCAGCCTTTTGATTTGGGATTTGTGTCAGATAATATGTATGGGGCATTAGCAGCATGATGATTGGCAGGTTAAAACAGTAGAATTTCAAGTTCTCATGGTGAGTACGAAGATGGCTGTCTTCTGGGTTGTAGTCTGGTACTACAACCCAACAAGACAGCCGTCTAAGTTAAAACTGAAGTATTCTTCAGATAAACCTGCACTACTGCTAGTTTGTCTACTACAAATCTCTGTGACCTCTGAAAATAATACCTGAAGTGTGCAATACTCTGACCAATGAATAACATTATCGAAATCTGAGTCCTTAATGGGGCTTCACTTCTGACCTGGCACTTGACATGTTTGTAGTGGAATACTATTAGTGTAGGTTTTCTCCAGTCACTTATTCCACTGATGCTACATTTCATCTATTATAATTGAGATAGACTTCACCAAGCAGCATATTATAAATTACATCATCATCCCTTATCACTAGCTCAGTACTTGGCTAAAATCAGAGTTAAGTTTGTCTTATAGGTGAATAAATACAATAATTTGAGGAGTATTCTTTATATGATGTGGTCATACTTCCTGTTCTATGCCAAACTTCATTTGCTGATCTTAAATGTCTTTCCTTTACTGACTGATGAAAGATGTAGAGTTAGGAGTGGTAAGAATTTTGAGATTTGACTTTGCTTCATATGGATGCTGTCTTGCTTCACAAAGTATGCAGTAAAACCTCAAAATAGAAAGATTCTTGTGATTAAGATTTTTTGCTATTGTATGGGATTCACATGAGATTTCACAAGAACTATCTTGTGTGTGTGTTTGAAGTACTTGCTATGAGCACAAATTATGAAATTGCTACAAGTTATTGTGTCTGTGTAAACTTCTTACTCAGATAATTAACACAGTGCATGAAATATGTGATGATATCATTTGTTCTGGTAATCACACCTCTTTGTGAAGTATAAAGTTGTCATCGTCTGTAAAGATGTATTTCATATTAAAAGTTCATAAATAAGTCTTACTGTGCAAGATTGGTTCAGATTTGACCTAGAATATTTATCATAGCATGTTAATAGATCATCTTACCTGTTTAACATTAGGTATTTTTCTTGAAGTACTCTCTCCCAACATGTACACATATGTCCCATTAACATGGATTCTGCAGCATAAAATTCTGTAAGATGGATTCACAGAAAATGGAGAACACAAACCTGCTTTGCTACATTATTGTCAAACTTTTGTCTTCCCATAAATTCTCTTAATGGTCTGAAAAGGTACGATCTGAAGCAGCCATGTCTGAACTGTAAGATGGTCCAGGATCTTGAAACCCAGAGTGATGAGACTGTTTTATTGGCAGTATGGAGCTTAGCATTGT